AGGATGAACTACCAAAAGTAATTCTCATTTCTGGTTTCAAAAATTAATATCTGCAAGAAAAATATCTGCATGAGTCTCATTTAATAAATGGAGAATTGATTGCCATGATTTTTGTAAATGCACATAAGTTTAGGATAGGATGTGAGTGGAGTATGAAGATGCGGAATCTGGTGCTGAAATTTTCTCATCAAATGGAATTGGGAACTAACTATGAGTAGTGGCAAAGAGCAATCTGCATCAGCAATTTCCTTGTACAAATGGAAATGACATGAATGTGGACAATGCATCAACATCAGAGCTGGACATCAACATCTCCCTGACTGCTATCCAAGGCTATATTTGCTTTCCTTGCATGAACTATTTCAAGTGAACCGCAGTTTTGATAGTGATTTCTGACAATAATAGTTACCATATTTTTGTGGCAATATTACTTATCTTGAAAGTGGAGTCATATGTAGAAAGAATAGCGAATCTGGGGTTTGATATTCTTGCCTTTATCGGTCAGTGCATTGAGTATAGGAGCTGGGAGTTCATGGGGCAGCTTTACAGGACATTGGCTAGGCCACTTTTGGAATACTGCATTCAATTCTCATCTCCCTGTTACGTTGTGAAACTGAAAGGTTTGCGTGATAGGGAGAAGCTGGTTAGGCTGGGGCTATTTTCCCTGGATCATCAGAGGCTGAGGGGTGACCTTATAGATGTTTATAAAATCATGAGGGGCATGGATAGCATGCATAGCCAAGGTCTTTTTCCCAGGGTAGGGGAGTCCAAAACTAGAGGGCATTAGTTTAAGGTGAGAGGGGAAAGATTAAAAGAGACATAAGGGGCATTTTTTTCATGCAGAAGGTGGTGCGTGTATGGAATGAGCTGCCAGAGGAAGTGGTGAAGGCTGGTACAATTACAACATTTAAAAGGCATCTGGATGGGTACATGAATAGGACGGGTTTAGAGGGATATGGGCCAAATGCTGGCAAATGGGACTAGATTAATTTAGGATATCTGGTTGGCACGGATGAGTTGGACCGAAGGGTCTGTTTTTGTGCTTTTGTACCCCTCTATGACTCTATTTTGATCCAATCATAAAAGTTATGCATTTTAATAAGCTCATCATTTATTTAACAAAATATTGTATTTAATGTGTGTCTTTTAATATCCTACCAAATGGAATTAGTTACTTATTTAAAAAGAAAAAAAACTGCTTATTTAAAGGACCTATGTTGGCTACAGGAAGACACAGTGAGTTAGCCCTAATGTAGTGCTTGGCTTGATGTGTGTTGCACTGCTGGAGGAGAGACTTATCAGGCTACATTTGATTGTGTTTGCTTGTTAATGTGTCTATATAGTAACAAGTGACATTTCCCAGACATTGACTTTCATTTGTGATATTAACACTTCACATTTATCTGAAAAAGATGGTTCATGTTTGAATGTTGCATGCTGAGCACTGACTGGTTCTGGTATTGCTGGTAAAAGCCCAAGTAAATTATCACATCATACAGTAACTGAGTTAAGGTGATTTCAAGGCTATCATCTAACACACACACGTGCGCGTGCACATACACACACACACACACACACACACACACACATAAATACAGATTGTGGGAGGGAAGCAAGTGAGTATCCTGTCTTCTTCTCATCCTGCTCACATTAAAGTTCAGAATAGGGAGCCTTGTTGATGTCCTTGCTACCCTGACATAACTAATGCCCACTAAAGGTCTACAACCATCATCAGAAAGGACAATCATCAAGCAAGAAGCCTAGAAAGGAATTCGGCGCATATTTGCTTGTGAGCTACCATAGGACATCTTCTGCCTGAAGGAACTCTGTTTCTGAGCAAAGGACTTGTCACCAGAAACAGGCTCTCTGAGGGCTCCCCACCACCACCAAATTGGCTGCTGATCACCCTCCACCATTCTGTGGCTCTCATTCTGCATCCCTCTACCCTGCCATCACTTCACTTTGGCTTGGAGTTCTTCATTGATTTTGGGCCTCTGGTGGATGAATTACCAACAAATGCAATCATTCTTCATCGCATTGTTGAGTCACAGACTGGTTCTCAATTGGCAGTCTCTTGTTGGTGGCATCATTTCCAGTCCTGGTTGTCCTTGATCCTTCTGCTTTTGGGAGAAGTGACTGAGAGGCACTTAATATGCAGGCATTTCCCAAAGGATACGACAGAAGTCTCACCCGCCAACTCATCAGCCAACAGGTGAGATTCCCATTGCCTGCAAAAAATACTCCGTCACACTAACAATGAGTCACTTTGATCACCCAACCAACATATTACAGAGAAGGAAGCAAAGGGTTAAGTGAATGCAAGTTGCACATTTGATATTTTAGCTGAGGCATAGTGTGTGACAGCAACATGAAGGGAAAGTTTTGGGGGAAAAAGACACTTCGAATTGGTTGTTTAATACAAGTCAGTGAAATGTGGTTGTCAAACATTGAACTTATGTTAAGGAAATGAAGCACACTTTGAAAATATCAGCATATTTTAACAGTTGGCTTGGAGCCTACAACACAGTCAGACATAACAAAATTGCACAACTTTTAGCATGACGCTACGTGCAATGAATCTTTGAATCTCCACTTTCGTTTCACTGTGATCACTTAACGTCTAAAAAATTATCATAGAAAACAACCAATAATACCATCTCCTGAATTATAGGGGGAAATTGTTCAGTCATTCCACTACATCACTAAGTCCGTACGGTTCATTGAGTCAGGAGTAAGAAAATAATTTCAAATATAAGCTAGACAAACACTTCATAGTGACAGCACTTTGGTGATAATGAGAATTGTCCTCGTGGTTTGAGATAAAAATTTGGCAAATGTTGCAAACCTGACCCTCAAACCACAGGTCAAATGCAAGTTAATCAGCATCTAAAGAGAGGTTAGAACAGGTTACTGTCTCCACCACAACTCATTAGAACTGACATTGCTTTCAGATTGTTAACCTGTTTGTTTCTTTTTTCGAAACTCCTTCATCAGTTTTTTTGATGCTTACGATGTTTTTTGATATACTAGTATCTATGCATGGTTGTGACATTTAGCAGCTTTCTTGGCCTGACTTTTTAAGAAACACTTCAAGTATTTCCAATGAGGAAATGGTTTGAAAAGGTCATTGTAGCTGTTAGTACATTCCAGTCTCTGCAGTCAATGCCAACTACTCTTCCTCCTTTTTTTGAGCTACTTTGTATCTGTAATATAGTCATGAGCACATTTATTCTAAATGAGTTAACAACTTTGTTTAAATGCTACCCACTGCAACTTACACAGATTAGCATATTGTTCAATGTTTTCCTGCAAGATTCTCCTTTCACTCTCAATTTTCACTCACCCTCCTCTGACTCTAAAAGACAGTGGGTTGGATGTTATGGTTTCTGGTAGTGTGAGCAAAGTGGAATGGGAAGGGTGTGACAGGATTAGCCCCACCCCCACTGTATTGCCATGTCGATCCTAGTATCAACAGGACAATTGGTAGAAAGGTCAATCAGTGATATGAGGGGCTGCATGGCTAGTTTGTGATACAGAGTCACACCAACTGTGTGAGTTCGAATCCCTCATCAGGCTAAGGTTACCATGAAGGACTCTCCTTCGCAACCTCTTCCCTGACCTGAGGTGTGTTGACCCTCAGGTTAAACCACCACCAGTCGTCTCCCCCTAATGAGAGACGAGCCTCAAAATCTGGTAAGACTATGGCAACTTTATGTTTATGTGACCAACTGAGCATTAAGGGTGGAATGTTAGGCCAGACAGGGGTTAGGACATGAACTGGAAATTGACCACAGCCATCCACTTAAAGACCCCCCTCTCCTTACACTGTTGCTCTCTCGTTATTTGTTAGGCCAGCCAAGAAACAGTAAAGAAATAAAGCCCTCTGACATCCAATCATTGCCATGTTTAGCCTGAAACTCATAGGCTTGGTCCCACTGACAGAGTCTTACATTCCCCTTGTGCTGCTTCCTCATACTTGTAGTAAAACACTCCCAATGTTTTATTTTGTATCTTGTGCAACTGCTGAAGAAAGGAGTGGGCAAGGAAGGATTATAGTCAGTTGCCTCATCAACAAGCCCAATAGCTTGTTAGTTATATTTTCCAAGAAACCATTTGGGCTTGTGATTTCCAGCAAGTGTTTCCCCTCCATGTTGTCCCAGACTTCGCTGGGTGGGGATAGGAGAGGTGGGAGAGTGCTGTCTGCCAGATTTGCTGTGGTAGCACAATTCAGTTCCAGGCACTGGTGAAGAGATGTTGCACACAAGATTCTTTGGAATGATACAAAAACTGAGAGCTTATACCAATCCGGAAAATGTCATCACGCTGGGACTCTGTTTTTTGCCTAGAAAAAGGAAGGCAACCTAATTGAAGTCTTTATGACGATAGAAGGCTTTGGTAATGTTGATGTAGACCCTTTTGATCTCTATGTCTTTATTTGCTACGATCTGCCTGTATTGCTCACAGAAGAAAGTTTTTCACTGTACTTAGGTACACGTGACTACAATAAATTAAATCAAGTCAAAAAAAAATCAAAAAGATAACTTCACTTGCAGGAGAGGCTAGAACTAAGGATCATACCCAAAGATTGTGAAGTTTAACTCTATTAATGAAATCAGGAGAAATGTTTTAGCCAGAAATTCATGAGAATGTGGAACTCAATACCACACTGAATTGTTGAGAGAACTAGTGTAGATTAATTGAAGGGAAACTGGGTAACACTTGACGGATAGAGTATCGAAAGGATTTGTTGATGGGGTTAAATAAAAAAGGGTTAAGAGGAGGCTACACTGTAGATTTGTTGGGTGCAATGACTGTTCCTGGGCTTTGAATTATATTAGACTGGAAACGCATCACACGGATTTGAATCTAGATTTAATGCTAGGACATAGTCAGAATAGTTACTTTGGAGCACCATGCCAAATCCTCCTAATACTTTTGTTAAACTGTTTGCTCTGCAAACTGTGGATATCAAGTGGCTCTAAATATATATTTAATTACAGGATGGAGCGTGATGCCAATTTTGCTCAAAAAAAGGCAGAACGAGCAACATTGAGAACACACTTAAGAGACAAATACAAGCTCCCAAAGGTAAGCTGCTTATTTTCGTTTTGATATTAACATCAACACGATAATTTTATTCAGTTTTTCTCAAGATTATTAGGATAATGTTGCTGTGGTTGTTATTACCTTATTATTACCATTGGGCTTATTTTACTGATTGATTTCATGTGAACTTCATGCCATGTTAAATTTTCCTGCACACAGTTTTAATGCGGATATTAACTGTGACCATAAGAAACTACAACTCCACAAATCCTATATCTATCATTCCTAGAGTACTTAAAGGTTCTTGATTTAAGTTTCTTGAGCAATGCGCATCATTATAAGAAGGTGAGAGAAAAGGTAAAGCAATTTGTGTTAATGCCTTGATTGTCACTACTGGCACTTGATGGTATATGCCTCTCTGTCAGTACGTGGCTGAGAGTAAGGCTTGTTTGAAATAAGTTGATGCCACCAATCCTCTTCCTCTACACTTAATCTATGACCTGTCTAATGATCAATGGGACAGGATATATCACCATAGAGGCTTTTGTATGGACCAGACCAGACCAGACCCATTCAAAATATTTTAAGAAGAAAGTCTAGACCCTGACTTTTTCTTATTTTAAAGGCAAATTTAAAGGGCTATGTTCCAGATTCAATGAAATGTAATAAGCAAAACATAATTTATCCAAACACTATAGCTAAATTACAACAAAAGAAAGAATTTTGAATAACTTAACTATTGGAAAACTTAACACAATAACAGATACAGTAATTATTACTAATTAACTGTTCCAATATAGTAACATTCCATAAACACACCCAGTGGCACAAAGACAAATTCAGAAAAGAGACTTTCTCTCACATACAATCCAACAGCTGAGGAAGAGAACCCCCAGCTTTTGCTGGAATTGAGAGAGGGGAACAATAGCTTTCACTTCTTCAAAGACCCCAACAACAACTGCTGAAAGCTAATTTAAAATCCTGGATCTGTGAGAGCTTGACCACACCCACTCAAGCTGCTTATATTTTTCCAAATTAAAATAAAACTCAAGGCCTCCCAAGTTGTTTATCTTCTCATAGACCTGTTCCCCAATCTCTCCCTAAAAGAAAACCAGGACAAAACACACCTTTTAAAGCCACAGCATCACCACATTTTATAGACCAGGAAATGTTCAATGGTTTATTGTACAAGAGCAATCAGTACATTACTGGTCAGGCAGAATTACTAGAACTCTTGGGAATTGTACAAAATCTACTCCTTACGACAATTACTGTTGAACTTTCAGATCCCACCTGTAGACAGAGTGACAACTGTAGAATAGGTAGTTCTCAATGTAACATGAATATTAACTCCTTCAGAACCAAGATCTTACACAACATCTCCCACTAAGATTTTACTGAACAGTTAAGCCATTCTACATAAATGTATATAACTTAATTAAATTTACTGCAACATTACATCAAGCATCTCCACTCACTTCCAACCCTGACTTCTCAAATGCATGCAGTCTGAACATTTCACAATGTTCACAGATAGCATTCCCTTTGGACTTGGAGGAATGATCTTCTGCTGAAAGTCTATTAACTTTGGTTCAGAATTATGGATCATTTCTCTGCTACAGGATATCCTTCATGGAGGACTTTATTCCTAGCAAATCTTATAATTAGTCCACTATTTTATTTAGAAAATCCTTAATCTCTTGACGAACTTTTTAAGGTACATCAGAGTTCCTCCATAACAGGCCATCCCAGGCAGCTTTATTCCTGTGAATTTCTGTCATGGAAACAAGCTGCTCTATCAAAACAAGGGCTTGCTTCCTCGTATTTCTGGAGCAGGCAATATCTTTCCAACTAGGAGAGGTGTTCTCATTTTTGCAATATCCTGGATGCTTACACCAAGCAATTCTTTACCTTCACCTGTATCTGTGGGCATTGTTCTAGCTCACTTGGAGTTGTATGAAGCTTATCTCCCATTGTTGACCATGTTGGGCATCTTCAGTCACCCTTGGTGGTTGTTTGACTGGTGATGTAAGCATGTTTCATGTGCCCAGTCATGTTAGTCACTGCTCACTCAGCACCATCATGCTTTACAGAACAGGAAATGTTCAATGGTTTATTCCATCTCTGTTACTGGTGTTGACTGTTCTGTTATCTCAGCGATATCCATTAAGGATTCCTTCTTTTCAGTCTGTGCTTCCCGCCATACAATGTGCTCTGTTTTGCCTTCTGATCTGTCTTCAATGATGACAGCTGTGATTTACAACCTGACAGTCCTGCATAATCTTCGATTTCACAGTTCTTTACAAGGTCTTCAATCTCATCACCATACTGGACTGTAGACTTGGCAATGCCAAAGTCTCCACAGTGTCTTTTCCAGTACATCTGCCAAAAGAGCAGCTGGAACAACTTGTTTTCTGTCATACTTTCAGATCTATGTGGCAAATGCTGACAATTGCAGAATTACACCTAAAGTTTAATGCAGTGTTTTCAAGCACGGGCTTTTTGGGTACAGTCAATACCTTTGCTTGTTACAAACGGTCAAAGGGACACACCGTTTGATATGATTTAGTCTTTGAGACAAGTGGTCAATGTACCTAGCATCACGCTTGCACTGAAATTCAACACTTGCTACATAATGTGTGCAAAGATTTACATGGACAACCAATTTAGGATTGTCTGCTGGGCTTGCAGTATCATTGAGTCATACAGCATGGAAATAGACCCTTCCATTTAACTCATCCATGCTAACCAAGATTCCCAAACTAAATGACTCCCATTTGCCTGCATTTGGCCCATATCCCTCCAAACCTTTCCCACTCACGTACCTGTCCAAATGCCTTTTAAATGTTGCAACTGTACCCGCATCTATCACTTCCTGTGGCAGTTCATTCCTCATATGCTCCACCCTCTGTGTGAAAAATCTGCTCCTCAGATCTCTTTTAAATCTTTCTCCTCTCAACTTAAAATTATGCCCTCTAGTTTTGAACTCTTCTACCCTAGGGAAAAGATCTTGGCTATTCATCTTATCTATACCTCTCATGATTTTATAAACCTCTATAATTTCACCCCTCAACCTTCTATGCTCCAGCGAAAAAGGTCCAAGAATATCCAGCCTCTCCCTATAACTCAAAGCCTCTAGTCCTGGTAACATCCTCATAAGTCTTTTCTGCACCTTCTCCAATTTAATAATATTCTTCCCGTAGCAGGGAAACCAGAACTGTACACAGTACTCCAAAAGTGGCCTCATCAACGTACTGTACAACCTCAAAATGACATTCCAACTCCTGTACTCAATAGTTTGAGCTATGAAGGCAAGCATGCCAAATGCCTTCTTTACCACCCTGTCTAGCTGCTCATCATGTGGTAATACACTGATTGCCATTATTGGCATCTCATAGTATCTGCCACCTCTGCCCAGTATGTGATTTAGAGTAACTGGCATTTGAGGTAGTTTGTGTCCATAAATCCTCCTTTCTCTATCTTTTGTCCAGGGCCTGTCTAATGATGATTGGTATAAGATGCACCACTCTATGAAGTATTTACAAAGATGCACTATTCTTATTTCACGATTGTGTTTTGAACAAGAGCAACAAGTACAAAACTACATCAAAAGTCAAGCATTATTCTCAGAACTCCCAGGAGCTGCACAGAATACATCTTCCTACAAAGGCTAGTGTTGAACTCATTGTTTCTGCCCATAGACATCAACCGAGTGGGTGGAAGCTCAATGTACCATGGTCATGAACTCCTTCTGAACCATGACCTTATATAACAACATTCAAAGTTATTCAGCGCCTCATTTATGCCTCCCAACACACCCTACAGCTCCATACTGAATCCAGGATTGTCCTTGGCTCCCTTCCCTTACCTGATAGGTTATTCCAAATGTTTATGGATATTTGAGGAAATTTTTTTTAACAAAGCAACCTCTTCACTACTTCATTCTGCCATTCCCTTGTTCTCCTGGCCTGTATTCCCTTGAAGTATTATTCTTCATTTGTTGTATAATATATGATGCAACTGGCTGAGGTCCTTCCTTAATTCCAAACGACATTAGTTTGTGTTAATGTAACCTCTCCTCAGAGCCAGTTGGGATTATCCTTATTGCTGTATCGTCCTCAGTGTATCTGCATTACATTTCATCTGACTGACTAATCTGTAATGAATTGAAGTCATTCCCTATAATTTGGTAAGTACTGTTGGTTTCTTTATACCCACTTAGGGTACAAGAAAGAGCCTCTATTAGTTCAGATATACCTATAAAGATAACATGGATACATAAATAAACATAAAAACATTAAAAAAAGGAGATGCGGTGCAAGCATTCACTAAATCTATGGCCAAATTGATCTTTGTATCATCCACTCTTCAACCCATTCTTCTTAAAGTGCCTACACCTGATTACCTTCTGCCTTATGTGAAGGTAGTATTCAGATACACACTTAAGGATAATTAGTTTCAAGGTGTGGGAAATAAATTAGTCTAAATCAATCACGATGGTTGGTTGAGAAAGGTAGAAAGCACGCTTATACGTTTATGTAAGCTGTTTCAATTATTTCAGTAAAGCATAAACCCATTCAAAACAATTAAATTAAACAGATTATTTAAATGCCAGACAAAAGATTCTTTATGAAAGCAGCAGCACGTTTATTACTGATATCATGCCCTATGATCACAACCTGTGGATGTTACCTTGGGAAGGATGAGAAGATAAATGGAGTTGTTCTTCTGAGCTGCATAAGAAAACCCCGGGTTGCACTTGCCCTAGAACTCCATCTAACCAGTTTCAGTCATCCCTGGATTTCTTTGTCCTCCTGAGTTCATAGGGGCAAAGTTACAGAGATGCAGAAGCCAACTTAGGTGATGCTTAGAAAGAAAGAGATGAGAGTTCAGAAGAACAACTGCCATAGTTCTATCAGACAGAGAAAAAAAGAATAAACTTTTCCAAATTAAAAATGTATCAGAATAATTGAAGGAGCTGAAAGTTTAAGTTTGCTTGAGTGCTGTAACAGGCAGGTTTGATGTATTGTTAAGGGGGTGGTTTCAGGATCCTGCAATTAAGATATTAATTAAAAGGTAGTCCAGAACCTGAAGTAGAAACAAGCTCAAACTTGTAATTTGACCTTGAATGTCAAGTGAAATTGTTGCGGATGGTAATTTACTGAATTTAATCCCCTGTCAAAGCTACTGTTTGCCTTATTTCTTCTATTAATAACCATTACAATGAGCTTCTTGCTGTTGCTTACAGCTGTTTATATGTTGTCATGTATGTTTGCAGATAAGAACAGAAAGTGCTGGAGAAATTCTGGCATATTCTGTGGAGAGAGAAACAAAGTTAATGTTTCGAGCCTAAAGAGTTGAACTGGGTTTCTCCATCACTTCCTGCTTTTATTTCAGATCTCCAGCATCCACAGTATTTTGCTTTTATTTTTCAAAAAGGAATTAAATCAGTCAAGATGTGAATTCTGAGACAGCCACAAATTTGGTGGATCAATCAGGCTTCAAAGCGCAGTGGATATTACAATGAACTTTTGTTCTTCCCAGAGTGAATTAGATGAAAGCCAGATCCAATTGGCTGGCGGTGATGTGGAACTGCCCAAGGAGCTGGCGAAAATGATCGAAGAGGATAACGAGGAGGAGGCAGAGAAGGACTCGATGTTGGGGCAGCTGGCCAACATTCAGAACCTTGACCTCGACCACTTGAAAGACAAAGCTCAAGCAACTCTGCAAGACTTCAAGCAAACGGCAGAGAAGTGTTGCCTCATGTGAGAAAGGGGGACCAGTTTCCACAACACTCACAGTGACATAATGGATAACGAGAATTACAGACTATGAGACAGTGGCCTGAAAAAAGCAAAAGGTCATGGTGAATAAAATGCAAAAATTGTTTAGGCACAAATCGGCTGCAGTTTGCAAAACCTTGGCTGTACAATTTACACACCAGTGAGATTTTCTAGCTTACTCCAACCTCTGGTTTCTTTTGCTTTGAGTTATATTCTTTTGTAATGCTGAGTGAGGTTCTGGCTTGACTACCTGAACATGGGGCATGGTGAATCAATGTTTCTCTTCTCAATAGCCCTGGTGTATTTCACTGTCCAATAAGGGTCATTGGGAGAATTATTGGGACATGGCGAAATTGACCTAATCTGCAAATTGCTTAGTTGTTTCGCACTGTGAATGAAAACGCTTGTTACACAGTTGATGCTCCAACTAGATGATGCAGAAGGTGCAATGGGTTCAAATTTGACAACCAGTAAATTATATAATTAAATGGTTTTCTTTAAATTATTACTCATTGTGGTTGTCCTGCAACAGCTATGTTAATCCCGAGGTGCTAAGAATTACACTAACAACAAAGATAATCAGCTATGCTTGCTTGCTAGGAGCTACGTATTGCACGGAGCCTGTACCATGTAGGGAAGAGTCTTTTCTGAATTAAACAAAAGCCCGGGGAAACAATAGATCCCCAGTGCATTCTCCATGGTAACGCCTTGACAAATAAGTGTCAACTTACCAACCAATCAGGCCCCTTTCCTCATGCAGTATAAATTGTTAAAATTTAGAATTCTTGTGTCTGTCCTGATGAGTGCAAGACAAAAGGAAGTGATACCATGTCTTTTTGTTCAGCAAAATTGCTTTCATTATCTGATACAAGACAACTGAGCAGCTTCACAGTGGCTCAGTGGTTAGCACTGCTGCCTCATAGCACCAGGGACACGGGTTCAATTTAAAGCCTTGGGTGACTGTCTGTGAGGAGTTTCCTCTCGGTGCTCTGGTTTCCTCCTACAGCCCAAAGATGGACAGGTTAGGTGGATTGGCAATGCTAAATTGTCCATTGTGTCCAGGGATGTGCAGGCTGAGTGGATTAGCCATGGGAAATGCAGGGTTACAGGGATAGGATAGGAGTGTGGGTCTGCGTGGGATGCTCTTCAGAGGGTCAGGGTGGACTCAATGGGCCAAATGGCCTGCTTCAACACTGTAGGGATTCTAACTAAAAAGGGTGATACTGTGACTCAGTGGTTAGCACTGCTGCTCACAGTGCCAGGGACCTGGGTTCAATTCTAGCCTTGGGCGACTGCCCTGGAGTTTGCACGTTATCCTTGTGTCTGTGTGGGTTTCCTCCGGTTGCTCTGGTTTCCTTCTGAATTCCAAAGATGTGCAGGTTAGTTGGATTGGCCATGCTAAATTGTCCACAGCGTCCAGAGACGTGTAAGCTAGATGGGTTAACCATGAGAAATGTAGGGTGATATGGGTATGGGTCTGGGTGAGATGCTTTCCCAAAGGCCGCTGTGAACTCGATAGGCTGAATGGCCTCTTCCACACTGTAGGGATTCCATGATTCCTTGGCCTCTTCAGCAATTCAATAGCAGTTACAATGGGCCAAAGGAAAGTGAAGGTGATGGGGTTCCTTCCCAAAAAGGCATTATTAAACCCAATGGGATTTGACCAATACCAACTTTTTATTTCCAATTGTTTTCTATCTAACTTGAATTCAAATTGTCATCCTTGTGATGTTTGAACTCAGAATTTCTGACTCATCAATCTATGACTCCAGATAGTCCACTAATATAACCATTTAACTGCCTTGCCTGGATTATGATGCTACATGTTAACATTCAGTCAAATGACTTCATCAGATTAACTTTGCAATTTTTTTCCTTACTCTTTCATGGAGCAAAGCCCATAAGATATGGGAGCACAATTAGGCCACTTAGCCGACTGAGTCTGCTCTATCATTTGATCATGGCTGGTATGTTTCTCAACCTCATTCTCCTGTCTTCTCCCTACAACCCTTGATCCCCTTACTAAACAAAAGCCTATCTATCTCTGTCTTAAATATACTCAGTGACTTGGCCTTCACAGTCCTCTGTGGCGATGAGTTCCATAGATTCACAACCATCTGGCTGAAGAAATTCCTCCTCATGAGTTCTAAAGGGTTGTCTCTTTATTCTGAGGCTGTGCTCTCAGGTCTTAGCCTGTTCTACTTGCGGAAACATCTTCTCCACATTCATTCTTTCCAGTCCTCTCAGTATTCTGAGAGTTTCAATCAGATCCTCCTCATCCTTCTAAACTCCATCGCGTACATACCTGGAGTCCTCAACAGCTGCTCATATGACAAGCCCTTCATCCCTAGGATCATTCTTGTAATGACCTCGTCCAATGCCAGCACATCCTTCCTTCGATACAGGGCCCAAAACTGCACACACTATTCCAAATGTGGTCTGACCAGAGCCTTATACCACCTCAGCAATACATCACTGCTCTTGTACTCTAGTCCTCCTGAAATGAAGGCTAATATTGCATTGGCCTTACTAACTGCCGTCTGAACCTGCATGATAACCTTAAGAGAATCCCAAACTAGGACTCCTAGTTTAGGAGGACATTTAAGAGGACATTTAATGGTCAACCACAACCACAAATTACATGTAGGCAAGACTGAGTAAGGATGGCAAATTTCCAATCCTAAAGGTATGACTGAACCAAATGGTTTGTCTAATAATTGACGACAGTTACCATGGTCACCAATACTAAGATCAGCTTGACATTCCCAGATGCATGCAAAGTGAGTTTGAGGCAAGATATTTTCTAAACAGCCTGTATAGAGATGCTATTACACACCTTAGGAGCAGGTGGAACTTGAACCCAGGCCTATAATTGACTTCCACTATTGAAGCTAGAAATTGGGTGCAGAGTGGAAGGTTTATCATGATGCTAAATGTAAATAGAAATTAAAGCAGGTGTAAATGATTATATGTCAATCAATTGAAAAAGTACTTTGTAGAATTCTTTAGTTGTCACACTTAACTTTATTAATTTTGCCTGCAGCACCTGCTACTTTTATTGAGAGTGCAAAAGATTTGAAATTGCTTAACTCCAATGCTTTAAACCTTAGTCCAGAGTCAATGGGCCTGTGCACTGCACTGCAAATTTCTTTCTTTCTACTAGATAACAAAAGCTTTTAACTGGCAGGATAGTATGCAAGGAAAGCCAATCCCTGGACGCTACTTGGGAACAGCATTGGCAGTTTGGGAACTGCCACCAAATGAGCAAAGGGACATATCAATGGTGGGCAGAGCCTAGGTCAATGGTTTCCAGACTTTTTGCTGGTGTGACCCCCTTTAATGACTTAGACTTCCTATGACCCTTAGACTGAAATATCTGAAGGTAGATAGCTGTTGAACATTGCTGGGAAGGTTAGTTCTAGGCTGGAGGTGATGTGGATGACTGGAGTTGAGTGTGGGTACAAAAACAAAGTTGCTGGAAAAGCTCAGCAGGTCTGGCAGCATCTGTGGAGGAGAAAACAGAGTTAACGTTTCGGGTCCGGTGACCCTTCCTCAGAAGTGCGGGTACGATTGATTGAATGGTACTTTCTCCAAATGAAAAGTGAATACCTATCTATCCGTTAGCTTTGCAGCAGCAGCAATCAGGCCTTGTACAGCTGTCCATTAGGTCACACCCACCAATAAAAAAAACTGCGAACATTTAAAGGGGGCCTCAGCACTGTCAGAAAGCAGACTGACCTACAAGTCACAGCTACAAGTGCTGCAAAAAGCTTGCGACACCGAGCTCTCACCCTTTGACCTACCTCGACCTAGTTTGGGAAGACCCGGTGTAGAGAGGAATGTATATCCACTTATCTTGGTGAATTAACACTTTTTATACCGTGCACAATGTAAATTGCCAAGTAAGAGCAATTGGACATACGTAACATCAACCCCCCCACCCACCTCCACCCCCCCACAACCCTAACTAAAAAGTAAAAATTGTGATCCTGTGCTAGGTGGCAATCTCTAGTGTTAGAATTTGAAAGGGACTAGGTGTGTAGACATGGTATAAACTTCTACATGCTGATAAAGCAAACAAGTCTTCTGTTTGTTCACTAGGCAGAAGTAGATCATGAGGCGATGATAGTTCATGGCAGATTTTCTCCCTCGATTATACAGCTTTTTCCAGATCCTAGAGAGGCAAGAAACAAAAGTTTAATTTATGCTGAGAGGTCAAAAATATTTGAAATATTGGAAAATCTTTACAGTTTGTGTGGAGGGGGCAAGGCGTGGGGTGTAGGAAGGCAAGCTGGAACTGGGAAATATACTGGAACTGGGAAACTGTTCTAGTTACACTATAGGAAGGGTGTTATTAAATGGGAGAAGATGCAGAAAAGGTTTACAAAGATGTTATTGGGCCTGGAGGGTTTGAATTATAAAGGACAGGCTGGATAAGCTGGGAGTTTTTTCACAGGAGCATAGGAGGTTGAGGAGTGACCTTATAGAGGTTTATGAAATCATGTGGGGCATAGACATGGGTGGCACAGTGGCTCAGTGGTTAGTACTGCTGCCTCACAGCGCCAGGGACCTGGATTTGATTCCACCCTCAGGAAATTGCCTGTGTTGAGTTTACACATTCTCCTCATATTTGCGCGGGCTTCCTCCAGGTGTTCTGGTTCCCCCCTCACCCTCCCCCTCCAACAGTCCAAAAGATGTACAGGTTAGGTGGGTTGTCCATGCTAAATTGCCCATAGTGCCCGTGGATGTACAGGTTAGGTGGATTGGCCATGGGAAATGCAGGGTTACAGGAATTAGGTGGCTCTTCGGAGGGTCTGTGTGGATTCAATGTGCTGAATACCCTGTTTGCACACTGTGGAGACTCGTAAGATGAATTCCAAAGGAGAGGGAGGGGGAAGGTTGTAGATACATTCACAATGCTATTAGGAAGGCATTCCAGGATTTTGATCCAGTGCCAGTGAAAGAATGGTGATCTATTTCCGTGACAGGATGGTGAGTGTTTGGTCGGGAAATCTGCAGGTAATGGTGTTCCTGTGTTTCTGCTGCTCTTGTCTTTCTAGATTGAAGTGGTCATGCATTTGGAAGGTGCTGTCGAAGGACCCTTAGAGTTTCTGCAGTGTGTCTTATAATGGTACATATGCTGCTACTGAATGTCGCTGGTGAATGGAGTAAAGGTTGAAGGTGATGGGTGGGCTGTCAAGAAAGTGGGCTACGTTGTAATGGATGGTGTCAAGCTTTCAATGTTATTGGAGCTGCATTCATCCAGGCAAGTGGAAAGTATTCTGTCACACCACTGACTTGTATCTTGAAAGTGATGGACTGGCTTTGTGGAGTCAGGAAGTGAGTTACTTTCTCCAAAGTTCCCAGCCTCTGACCTGCTCATGTAGTCAGTTTTTACATGGCTGGTATAATTCATTTCTGGAAAACAGTTACCTCCTGGCTTGATAGCAGTTACCTTGCATTTATACAGTTCCTTTGTAATATAGTTAGTTAAGTGCCTCAAGGCACTTCTAAGGTGTGTTATCAAACACTGTTTTGTCACCAAGCCACATAAGAGATCAAAAACAACGTTGCTG